AGGACAAACCGCCTTGACACTCTAGAATAATTTGATTCATTTCTTGCAAACACAGTACCATTGTTAGCTTACCAAATATTATGCCTTTATAATAGCAATTTTCTATTTTGTGTTAAAAATGATTTCTCTACAGGAATACTTTGAAGTAAAATTTGAGTCTACTCTTAAGTTTTAGGAAAGCCGAGCATCATATTCCTATAATCTGAGGAGCCCTCCTTTTAGAGGTTCCAGATGAAATGCATTGGATATACATAGACTGAAAATTTTCTTGTTGTCTAGCAGAATTTTGAAAATCAAATTTATATGAACATCTATTTTTTTGTTTGTTTTTGTCAGAGTCTGGCAACCTTACCTCCTTTCCATGTGTGTGAGTAAGAGCTAGTATGGGACTGGTGTTCTAATCCATTACTTTTCTAAAAGCCCAATGAAAGTGAAAATTAAAGTCACTCAGTCGTGTCCAACCCTTTATGACCCCATGGACTATACAGTTCATGGAATCCTCCAAGCTAGAATACTGGAGTGGATAGCCTTTCTCTTCTCCAGGGGATCTTCCAAACCCAGGGATCAAACCCAGTTCTCCTGCATTGCAGGCTGATTCTTAGCCAGGTGAGCCACAAGGGAAATCCAAGAATACTAGAATGGGTAGCCTATCCTTCTCCAGGGGAATCTTCCTGACCCAGGAATTGAACTGGGGTCTCCTGCATTGCAGGTGGATGCTTTACCAACTGAGCTATCAGGGAAGCCCAGAAAAGCCCATAGTGATAGAATGTTGCCTTTGTAATCACACAGACTTGGTTTTTAATCTTGACTCTTTCAGTTACTAGCTCTATGATGTTTGAGATAATACTTAACTTGAAGGCTCCAGAGAGGATGCTGCAGAAATAACGTAGTTTCCCTAAGGCACTCGGTATTGCATGCAGCAAGTGGTGATGCAAGTTATCATCTGTTTCCTGGGAAAGCTGAGGTGGAGGAGTCAGCATTATCCCTTTGCATTGTTGAAGTTCTTAGTACTGATACAGAAACATAACTACAAATACATATTGCTTAGTAGCCATAAATGTATCACTTTTAGAATTTCTTTTCAGCTTCTCATATTTAAATTTGTGATTTAAAATGCTTGAATTTTTGGTCCTATTCTTGCTCCTGTAGAACTATGGGCCACCAATATTTGCTTTGAAAAAGTGAATAGGAATATGAAATATCCAGAAGAGGCAAATCCAGAGAGACAGAAAGGAGATTAGTGGTCACCAGAACTGAGGGAGAGAATGGGGAGTGACTGGTTAAGGGTGTAGGTTTCATGGTGGTGAACATGATCTAGAATTAGATCATGGTGATGCTTGTACAACATTATGGTTATACTAAAAAAAGACCCACTGAATTGTACACTTTACAATGGTTAAAATGGTGAATTTGTGTCATGTAAATTTTACCTAAAAATTTTAATAGGTCTGTTTCTGGAATTCATTTATTCTTTGCTAGACTAATACCGTCAGCTTCCTGTTATCTGCAGGTTCCACATCCATGGAGTCAACTAACAATGGATGAAAATATTTGAAAATACAATTCTAGATTTTAGGATGTTCCAAAAAGCAAAATTTAACTTTGCCATGTCCTGGCAACTATTTACTTAACATTTACGTTGTATTTACAACTATTTATAATAGTATTTACATTGTATTAGCTATTATAAGTCATCTAGAGATGATTTAAATTATATTCTATATGCAAATCCAATAGCATTTTATATAAAGGACTTGAGCATTTGTGGATTTTAGTATCTGAGGTGGGTTCTATAATTGTTAATTGCTCACTGCTTGGGAGGAACTGTGTTATGATCTTTACCGTATCATCTTCCAAGGTTTACAACTCTTACTTTTTTATATTCATTTTGTAATTCTGTATTGTTTCCTTTACTCTGCTCAGGCTTGGTATAAAACTGTTATTTACAAATATAAAAACCTTTTCTAATTTCCATAATCTTTTTTGTGTAACACTTCCACTGCCCATCTAATCATTCAGCAAAGCTGTAAACCATCTTACAAGGAAATGTATCTTTCAGTAGTTTTGAGACAATTTAACCAACTACTTTACCTCATGTCTTAGTTCCCTCCAAGCCTGTTGTTATTTAAGTCATACCAATTTCTCAGTCTTTTGCCATTGCATTCTTATAAGGTGGAGGAAGAGTGATTCAGGGAATACAATGTATAATTTATGATTACTTTTATCCCTTTTTTTTTAAGCCTAAGTGTATCAGTAGTACTGAGTTAAATGGATATTTTCTCCTTTAGTTTAAAGTTTACAGTAGTAAGTGATCCTATTGAGGAGGAAAAGAAAGAATGTCAAGAAGTAGGCTACGCATATCTGGAACTGTGGCCAATCCTGGTATCAGGAAGAGACATCCTAGAGCAAGATCTAGACAGTGAGTCATACATTTTGGTGCTCCTCAGTTCTATTTATGTATAAGGGAATAATCCTAATAATGAATATTTTTGACCTTTAATACATAATTACTACATAGTTGATGAGACAATTTGGATTGAAACCCCTACTGCTGTTTTTCTAAATCATGCGTCAGTTGTATATCTTATCCCATACACCTCCTGGCAACTAGCATCCATTATGAATCTCCTCCAGTATTTGAGACAGGGAGCTTTTGAAAAGACCCATTGTTTTAATTTCAAGCAAGTTTAAACAGCCTTTCTGACCTCCCTTATCCAATCTGTTCTGAAACTGTCTACTATGCAGTTCCCCTAACCCATCCACAATGGTCATCTTTGATTCTAATGTCTTCAGTCCCAACATTAAGTGTTCTGAATCCGTCCCTACCTCCACTGTTGAAACTTCAGAACCCTTTTCTCTCCTGAATTATTTCAATAACCTCATTAACTACCTTCCCTGATTTACTCATGCCCCCTTAGAATATATTCCCGAGTGGAGTTACTTTTTGGAACCCAAATAAAAAACTGTCATTTCTAATACCTTCAATTAAAACCACATTTCTTACAAGACAAATGGCCTGTTATGATCTAGATCCTGCTTATCAATAGTTTAATTTCTGCCATCTCTTATAGTTTTTCAAACTTGTTTTCAAATCTTGGCACATGCTGTACATGCTTAGAGTATCTTTTATTTTTTGAAGACAAAGCGATTGTCTCCAGAAGGCCTTTTCTGATTCTTCCATTCTGGATGAGGTGTCATGTTTGTGTTCCCAAAGCACACTGACTTTTCATCCCCGCACCAGCTATACTATATTGTAATGATTGTTTTCCATCGTCTCCCATCAGGTTGAGTCCCACTAAAATAGGAGGTAGTAACCTTGTGTAGTATCCCCCCAGCACCTAATGTGGAAAATATTTTAATATTTAATATAAAATATTAAGTATTTAAGTGTTTTTCAGTTGAATGATACAGATGTCTGGTGTTTCTTTTTCCTTTCTCCACAGTTGTTAGCCCTGAAGATCAGGCCACCCCCATAGGAAAGCTCAAGGTGTCCCTTCAAGCTGCTGCTGCCCTCCATGCTATTTACAAGGAGATGACTGAAGATTTGTTTTCATGATGGAACAAGTGCTATTGTGCTAGTCCATTCTAAACCCTGAGGGAACCATAGTAAAAAGTCTCTTATAAAGTAACTTGCTCTACCATGAATTTGGTTTACTGTGATGTCTCAACCTAATCATGAAAGTTCAGCATGATAAAAGTTTGTAATACTAGCTGGATAAAGAGAATTAATCTCTATGTCTTAGCACTTTTCTAGGACAGAAGCAGGCTTGCTTTTAGGAACTGCAAAAGAACTGTCACAGGTGAATTCATAAAACAGCAACAACAACAACAAAAAAAACCACAGTTTATTTATCTTTTAGTTTTTCCAAAATTGAAAATATCAAGTCCTACTGCTAAGGAGAAAATAAACAAACAAATGAACAAAATCCGAGACCCCTCCCCCCTCTTCTCTTAAAGTCACAGAACACAGAAGGAACTGCAGTGGGACAGGTGGGTGCAGAGAACCAGGAGGGAGAGGATGGCAAGATAAACTCCCCCAATACTTAAAAAGCTGTTCAACAGAAACTGTGATAAATACAGGACAATGCAAGACAAGTAAAAACAAGGAGCAGCAGTGACGAGAGGCTGTGTGGTAGATGTGGCCTCCCTTCCTCTTCTCTTTTCTCATCAGGGTATTCTAGGCCCAAGGCATGACTTGCCCCTTCCAGATCTAAATGTTGACTCCTTTGAGCCTCCTTCTAGATTTCACTAGAAGCAGTACATGAGGCACAGCCATTCTTTCCTCATACATCAGAAAAGAAACAATGGTAATCTTGCTCCCACCACTGTACCATGTGTGAATCTGTAAGGAGATGACACCGAACCAGGGAGTGTCACTGCTTCCATGTCTTCCAAGGCAGCAGAAGTACCTCAGAATCTACCCGAGGCAAGAAAGCAGGCGAACTCAGACGGAGATACCAGCCCGGTCAGTCTATCTAAGCTCTATCACTCACACCATCAGCAAAAGGCAAGAACCTTTTCTTGAGTACTGCACAGATGTACCTTAAAGAGATGTGAGGAAGGTCATGGCAGGAGGGTAGGATGGAGGACTGAATCTGCTGGTCAAGAGCCATGGTACAGGCAGGCAAAGATCACCGTGTACCAACGTCTTGGAAATATAGCTTTGAGACATCAAAGAATAAGATGTCAGAAGCCAACAATGTCCTGGCAGAAGGTGACAGGAAGAGAGAGGAATGAAACGGTATTTATTAACAGCGGAAGCCTCTGCCCTTCTTCAAGAACACCTCCTCCCTTGCCATCTGGATGGGGCCATTGGCACGTGTCCTGGTGGGCCTGGAATTCCCCGAGTAGCTTGGTCCACACAAATGGCCCCCTAAACCCATACACAAATGGCAAAACTTCAAAAGAAAAAAAAAAAGGAAAAATACAGTTTCTATGTCATGTAAAATTTTCAGGGATTGGCTGTAGGAAGAATGGAGCTGAGGGCCAAAGTTCTGAAGTTACTTCCTCTTTTTCTTGGGAGGCGCAGAGCTGTGTCTGGAACCTCGGTTAGAGCCTCGGCCTGAACTGTGCACAGATGCCTTCCTCTTCCGGCTCATACTTCGACTCTGTTCTTCTTCTTCCTCATAGCGGCTTTCACGGTCAGCTAAACAGAACGAGGCACTAGTTAGCTAGATGTTAGCTTTAGGTATCTAACACTGTTGTACACAGCATGAAGTAATGCAGAGAACATACTTTGGAGTCAGACTTAACTTTAAATCTTTCCTCAGTTGCTTATTAGTTGTATGATCTTGGGCAAGTACTTAACCTTTCTGAGACTTGATTTACTTATAAAATGGAAATTTTAGGCTTAAAGGTAATCTATGCAAAGGACCTATCACTATGCTTGGGCTATACAGTACAGTAGTATTTAACTTATATTTGGTATTTGGTTTCAGAGTAGTTAAAACTAGTACTACAAAAACATTCTTAACCTGGAAGAGGGCCATAAAGCTAGACTACTATCTGACTTAGATTTGGAAACTGAACAGCCTAATTTTGGAGTCGGACAAGACTATCCCGCCTAAGGACCCACTGTGGGGGCTGAGTAGATGAAAAGAGCCTCCAAGTCGGCAGAATCGTTCCCCCTGGAGAGTACGGATTCACACCAGACCTCATTTGCTTTTCTGGTCGATGAAGCTGTAGCTGTGACTCCACATCAGTTTTACACTTATGTTACTTTTATCAGGCAAATAATCTCTCAAAATACTGAAATTTGTGCCTCAAAAAATAAAACAAAATTTACCTTTTCGGGCTTCTTCCTCCAGTTCGTCCCAATCCTTTCCACTCTCTTCTTCACTGCCCAATGATTCCTTGGAATAATCTGGAATAATATGAAGCATGATTTACTAGAATGGAAATGGAATGGAATGATAAAATTATTCCCTTCAAAACCCTGTAGAAATTGCCTAAGGTTAGGAAGTCATGAACACTTGTCCCTATGAAGACTCACCTGATTCTTCAGCTTCTGATGAATAATCTTCATCACTGTCCTCCTCCTCCTCTTCATAGTCTTCCTCTGAAGGATTAAAAGTCTCATCTTCGATTTCAGACTCGGAATCCCCTTCCTCAGCATCACTCCCCTGGTGAGTTGAAGCATAATACTAAATACTGGGTGTTTTTTTTAAAATTTACTTCATTAATAACCTAATGAATTAATTCAATCCACTCAGTGCACCAGCATTATTTCTATTTTATATGAAAAATGAAATAAAAAATACCTAAACCTCTGAGTAACACAGGATAAAAAGACTTAATTAAAATTACTAGTAAGATGTAATAATTAGACAACTTTTGCAAGACGATTTGAAGTATTTTCTCTGAAAACTAAGAAATTCATTCAAACAATAGTTTTTGTAATTTCAAAGAAACCTTTTGAGTGACTACCAATGCCCAATTAATTTATCATTTGCCTGTAAAACTAACTTGAAAAGAAACCCCACACTCACGCACCTCACCCTCAGGTTCCAGGAAAGACCAGCCACCTTGTTCAAAGAAGCCCTCAGGGTCATCAACAATGGTCTTCATAATTTTAGTCCAGTTGAGGGACTGTACTCCTTCTGTGTACTTTAGGTCACAGGAACTAAGAAAAATAACATTATGAAGTAAAAAAATCAATCCTCCATACTTGGCTTTTGGGTTTGGCTTTTTTTTTTTTTTTTGGTTTTGGCCATGCCAAAAGAGCAAAAGAGGAGTCTTAACCACTGGACCGCCAGGGAAACCCGACCTCTATACTTTGTGAGAACATCCAGTGTCACGCTGGTCATTAGCATCTTGGAAGAGCAGATACCCTTTTTCATATGTGAGAGCAGGTACTCTTTGCACTGTCCCACCAGAACATACCCCAAAACAGCTGATATCTGGTCTCCCAGAGCACTAGCCCTCACAACAGAACCCCATTTTTTTAAAAAAAAACTACTTAACGTGCCTTATGTTAAGCAATGTTCAAATGATATTTATCCACTTCTGTTGAGGTGAACAATCAATATGGGTGGGGAAAAAAAGAAATCCAGAACACAGTAATGTCAGGGCCATAGAAAGAAACCGTTAGCATAAAACCTGAGTGTGTGCTTAGTCACTCAGTTGTGTTCGACTCTTTGCAACCCCATGGATTGCAGCCCTCCAGGTTCCTCTGTTAAGCGGGTTCTCCAGGCAGGAATACTGGAGTGGGTTGCCATGCCCTCCTCTAGGGGATTTTCCCAACCCAGGGGTCAAACCCAGGTCTCCTACGTAGCAGGCAAATTCTTTACCATCTGCGCCACCAGGGAAGCCATAAAACCTGAGATTCCAGCCTAAATCCATTATGGGCACAATCATATACACTGAAGCTTTTGCTTCTAGCTATGATGGAGGTGACAAGGATTAGATTTACCTTTTCACCCAAACAACCAGAAAACTGAACAAAGTATGGAACAACAGTTTTCAAACACTGGATAATAAGCAGCACTAGACTAAAATACCTATGGAACTTCACAATGGAATGAACAGCAACAGGAATGGTTAAATATGTAAGTAAGACTTTCTCCTCATTTTGTAAATTAAGGAATAGCTGTTTTGAAGCTAAAATAATGACAATTGTGGAAATCATAGCATATTAAAAGCAAAATGTATGGTGGTAATAGCAGAAAGGATAGAAGAAAAGAAATGAAAGAAAGCATAAGAACCTTCTAACAACAACAAAAAAGAAGCTTCTAACAGACATAGTATATTATCTGAACGCAGACTCTGACAAGTTAGAGGTGTAGCTAATCAGCAAACTAGGAAGATGATCGTAAAGATTCATAAAATTAAAAGCAGGCATAAAAAGGAGAAAAGCTTATCTTTGACAAAGGAGGCAGAAATAAACAATGGAGAAAAGACAATCTCTAACAAGTGGTGCTGGCAAAACTGGTCAACCACTTGTAAAAGAATGAAACTAGAACACTTTCTAACACCATACACAAAAATAAACTCAAAGTGGATTAAAGATCTAAATGTAAGACCAGAAACTATAAAACTCCTAGAGGAAAACATAGGCAGAACACTCTCTGACATAAATCACAGTAAGATCCTCTATGACCCACCTCCCAGTGTAATGAAAATAAAAGCAAAAATAAACAAATGGGACCTAATTAAACCTAAAAGCTTTTGCACATGAAGGAAACTATAAGCAAGGTGAAAAGACAGCCTTCAGAATGGGAGAAAATGATAGCAAATGAAACAACCAACAAAGAATTAATCTCCAAAATATACAAGCAGCTCAATACCAGAAAAATAAACCACCCAATCAAAAAATGGACCAAAGAACTAAACAGACATTTCTCCAAAGAAGACATACAGATGGCTAACAAACACACGAAAAGATGCCCAACATCACTCATTATCAGAGAAATACAAATCAAAACCATTATGAGGTACCATCTCATGCTGGTTGGAATAGCTGTCATTAAAAAGTCTACAAAAAAAAAAAAAAAAAGTCTACAAACGATAAAGGCTGGAGAGGGTATGGAGAAAAGGGAACCCTCTTACACTGTTGGTGGGAAAGAAAACTAGTACAGCCGCTATGGAGAACAGTGTGGAGATTCCTTCAAAAACTGGAAATAGAACTGCCATATGACCCAGCAATCCCACTGCTGGGCATACACACCGAGGAAACCAGATCTGAAAGAGACACGTGCACCCCAATGTTCATCGTAGCACTGTTTACAATAGCCAGGACATGAAAGCAACCTAGATGTTCATTGGCAGACAAATGGATAAGAAAGCTGTGGTACATATTCACAATGGAATATTACTCAGCTATTAATAAGAAAGCATCTGAGTCGGTTCTAATGAGGTGAATGAAACTGGAGCCTATTATACAGAGTGAAGTAAGTCAGAAAGAAAAACACCAATACAGTATATTAACACATATATATGGAATTTAGAAAGTAATGACAACCCTATATGCAAGACAGCAAAAGAGACACAGATTAAAAGGTAGACATTCTCAGAATGGATTAAAAACAAGCCAAGGCATGAAAGCAACCTCACTGTCCACCAGCAGAGGAACAGATAAAGAAAATGTGGTACATATATACAATGGAATACTATTCAGCCATTAAAAAGAATGAAATAATGCTACTTGCATCAACATGGATGCAACCAGAGACTGTCATACTGAGTGAAACAAGTTAGAGAAAGAAATAACATATGACATCCCTTTAAATGTGGAATCTAAAAAGACATGATACAGATAACGTACAAAACAGACTCACAGACTTAAGAGAACAAACTTATTATGGCTGTAGGGGGGAAGAGATAGTTAGGGAGTTTGGGATAGACATGTATACATTGCTGTATTTGAAATGGATAACCAACAAGGACCTACTATATGGCGCATGGAATTATGCCCAATGTTCTATGGCAGCCTACCTGGGAGGGGAGTTTGAGGTAGAATGGATACATGTATATCTATGGCTGAATCCCTCTGCTGTTCACCTGAGCTACTACAGCACTGTAAACTGGCTGTGCCCTAATACAAAATAAAAAATTAATAAAGCTGGAAGTCTATAGTAATATCACACTATGTAGATTTCAAAACAGGGACTATTACCAGAAATAAGAAAGGACATTTCATAATGATGGAGAATAAAATTCAAAAAATTGATAAACCTCTAAACAGACTGACCAACAAAAAGAGGAAACTATCAATATCAGGAATGAAAAGGGTAAAAGTATTGCACAAATACCAAAGTCGACAGCTTTGCAAAATAAACCAGTTTGTTGAAAGATACAAGTTGAATTTATGTAGAATAGTCAAAATAATAATAGCCAACTTTGAAAAGGAACAAAATGGGAGGACTTACACTACATGATTTCAAGATTCATTATAAAGCTACAATATTCACTACAGGATCAGTAAGCACACACATAAACCAATGGAACAGAAAACACTATCCAGAAATAGAGCCTCTCCTACACATTCTTTTTTTAAACAAACATGCCAAGTAATTCAATGGGTAAGGGATAATCTTTTCAACAAATGATAACTAGAATAACTGGCTTCATATACACAAAGTACAAACCTTCATCCTTACACCACAGTAAAAAAAAAAATTAACTCAAAATGAATCACAGATACAAGACCTAAACCAATGGAACTCTAGAAAATAGAAACTACTGGAAAAAAATATATGCAAAATGTATTTGATGAGGGACTTTATTTAGCCTAAAAAATTCTTAAAATTCAGTAGTAAAGCAATCTGATGCTTAACATGGGCAAAAAACATGAATATACTTCATCAAAGTATAGAATGACACACACATATGAAAAAATGCTCAAAAGCATCACTAATCTTGGAAATGCAAACTGAAACCACAATGGGAAAGCCACCCACCACAATGGCCAATAATGCAAAGACTGATAACACCAGTGTTGGTGAGGATGTGGAGCAACTACAATTCTCACATACTGCAGGTTTTCCAGCCACACTGGCAAAGGATTTGGTAGTTTCTTATAAAGCTAAACATACACTTAACCATAAACCATATGACACAGCAATCCCACTCTTAGGTCATTTATCCAAGAGATGTATGTACATACAAAGACCTGTACATAGTGTTTTATATCAGCTATTCCTAAGAGTCCCCAAAGGGAAACAATCCTAATGTCTATTAACTAGTAGAGGTAAATAAAGCAGACAATAAAAATGTCTATTAACTGGTAGATGGGTAAAAAGAGGTCTGCTTTATTTGGGGGTACTCCTCTGTAATAAAAAGGAGTATGCTAATGATGTGTACAACTTCTTGAGTAAATTTCAAAAGCATTATGCCAAGTGAAAGATAAAAAAGAATCAAAACACTACATACTTGTATAATTCCATTTATGTGAAATTCTAGATGAAGTGAACTCTACAGTGACAGAAACCAGCGACAAGGTTGAAGGGAGTGGAGTGACTCTAAAAGGGTAGGTGAGTAAAGGAAACGTTCCATATCCCCATTATGATGGTAGATATGAGACTATATACATTTGTTAGAATTCATCCAATCATATACTTAAATTGATGAATTTTATTACATGTAAATTGTACCTCAATAAAGAGGATTTTAAAAAATCATACAGGGGCTTCCCTGGTGGCTCAGTGGTAAAGAATCTGCCTGCCAATGCAGGAGACACAGGTTCAATCCCTCATCCAGGAAGATCCCACATGCTGTGGAGCAAGTAAGCCCACAACTATTGGGCCTGTACTCTAGAGCATGGGAGCCACAACTACTGAGCTCATGTGCTGCAACTACTGAAGCATGGGCGGGCTCCGGAATAAGAGAAGCAACCACAATAAGAAGGCTGCACACCTCAACTAGAGTAGTCTCCACACTCAAACTAGAGAAAAACCTGTGCAGTAACGAAGACCTAGCACAGCCAAAAATAGTCACACAAATCTATAAATATATTTGGTACCATATTACTTACCTGCAAATGTTTTCCAGGAAAATCATTATGGAAACTATCAAGTTGGATCTTTCTCACAGGCTATTTTTAAGCTCTCTCAATCATTTCTTAAGAGAAGTTGTGTATTTGCAGTACCTCCCCCTAGAGATAATTGGAAGGAGGAAGCAGGGCAGAGCAGGCTATACTCATGGCCACACATGCCTCACCCTTTTCCTACGAAGTGACATCTCCCTTTTTATTGGGGTTCTGACATGTCTATGAGAAATTCTTTTTAGCTGAAGTGTAAGTATGTGAAAGTTAAAAGCTAAAATATATATATATATTTATCCTATATTTTAGTAAAAATAGAGAACCAGTAGGAAATTTTATACATCCATCAAGTAGTCAAAAAAGATCTCGGACTCTGATTTTCAGTGGCTCTAGTGGTAGAGAACCCACCTGCCAATGCAGGAGACCTAAGAGATACAGGTTCGATTCCCGCGTTGGGATGATCCCGGGGAGGAGGGCATGGCAACCCACTCCAGTATTCTTGCCTGGATAATCCCATAAACAGAGGGGCCTGGCGGGCTATAGTCCATAGGGTTGCAGAGTCAGACATGACTAAAGTGACTCAGCGTGAACGCACAGCCAGTGAAGATAAAGCAGGGGCTAAAGCCACCCTTTGACAGCCAATGACTTAAGCAGAGAGTGGTTGTTCAATTAATATTAGTTCATTTGAAACTTAGTTGCTCAACAAGAGTTAAGCATATGCAAGGTCACATGCAGCCTCTTCTGTATCATATGAACTTTCTGAGTACTCTCCATTTAAAGAAGGCAGACTTAGGCAGAGACTTAAGACTCTTAGTCCAGAGCAGAGTTAGGAGGAAAGCCCAGAGATCTTGCCCTTAATTCAGTGATTCTAACCCAGTGCAGAAAGTGAAGAAGAAATAAAGAGCCTCTTGATGAAAGTGAAAGAGGAGAGCGAAAAAGTTGGCTTAAAACTCAACATTCAGAAAACTAAGATCATGGCATCTGGTCCCATCACTTTGTGGCAAATAGATGGGGAAACAATGGAAACAGTGACAGACTTTATTTTTGGGCGCCAAAATCACCACAGATGGTGACTGCAGCCATCAAATTAGAAGATGCTTGCTCCCTGGAGAAAAGCTATGACCAACCTAGACAGCATATTAAAAAGCAGAGACATTACCTTGTCAACAAAGGTCTGTATAGTCAAAGCTATAGTTTTTCCAGTAGTCATATATGGATGTGACAGTTGGACTATAAGGAAAGCTGAGTGCCGAAGAATTGATGCTTCTAAACTGTGGTGCTGGAGAAGACACTTGAGAGTTCCCTGGACTGCAAGTAGATCCAGCCAGTCCATCCTAAAGGAAATCAGTCTCAGGACTGATTATTCATTGGAAGGACTGATGCAGACGCTGAAACTCCAATACTTTGGCCACCTGATGCGAAGAACTGACTCATTAGAAAAGACTCTGATGCTGGGAAAGATTGAAGGCAGGAGAAAGGGACGACACAGGATGAAATGGTTGGATGGCATCACTGATTTGATGGACATGAGTTTGTGCAAGCTCTGGGAATTGGTGATTGACAGGGAAGCCTGGCGTGCTGCAGTCCATGGGGTCACAGAGTCGGACATGACTGAGTGACTGAATTGAACTGACTGACCCCAGTGCATTCGCTCTCCTCCCCCTGCCTCTGCTCCAAAGCTTGATATGTGTTGAATACATGGGTTGCACAGAGTTGGACATGACTGAAGTGACTTCACTCACATGCATGTCTGAACTACTGCTGGGTATTCAGGAAAAAGTGGCTCTATGTCTAACAGATCCCAAGTTTTCAAGTCCTGGTTGGTAACAACCCAAAGGCAGTTTCATTAAGTATACCAACAGATTTTACATATAACATACCACACTCATATTCTATAAAACTGTGTTTGTGGGACAGGAGATTGCTGGCAGGCCTACTTACTTTAACCATTCCTTGATGGGGTCAAGAGAGGCAACAGGAATCGCATTGATCATTGTCACTTTCTTGCTGTAATCCTTGTAGACGATCACCATGTCAAAGTTCTTCAGGTGAAATTGGACTCGCTCAAAGTGAATCAGCTCCACTTCATCCAACGTCACCACAAAAGGTGGCTGTCCGGGAAGAAAGGAACTCTTTGCATAAAAATACTTCCCACAAAACACTAGCATTTTCAAATGCTTTCAGGATATAAAAACTACCACACAAAGGATAACTAAACTGTTTTTTGTTTGTTCTTTGGGGGCAAAGACTAAAAGCAATAAAACATACCAAGAAGCCCGGGTTAAAGGATCTATAAGATTGAAATCCTCCCTCAGGGAGAATTCATTTAAGGAAACTATGCAAAGAAACTATCTCTAAAAACTAAAGAGACTTTTAAAGAATCATTTGTTCAATTTTTATATCTAACGTAAGTAAATATAAAAAATTTAAATACTAAGATATAATAAGGACCTAGTTTTCAAAACATCTACCCTCTTGCTTTCTTTTCTCTAACAATTTTCTTCCTAAAAAGAGGTCAGAAATACTCACCCATTCTGTAGCATTTACCAGCGCACTACTAGTAGGCTGAAGGAGGCAGGTACTCCTATAGGGAGCACCATTAAATCTGAAAGACAATAAGAGACTCACATAAGATGGGATTCACTGCAAGAGAAACTGCTGCTGTCCCAACAGGCTTCTTTCCTTTCCCATTCCAAACAAAACTCCAGCACACTTGCTGGAGACTCACTTCCAGAGGGAGCCTCTCAGTCTTAGCTATTCAACCAGCCCTTGAGCATTTCCAAGAGATAATGGATGTCCATAGGAAAAAGAACATGATATGGTATGCTAAGTTCTTATTAAAGGAAGAATAACTAATTTTTCTGAAGATCAAAAAGAAGATGACACATTACCCCAAGTCCCTAAAAGGCACTTCAAATTCCAGTTCCTCCTTGGTTAGAGCCTCTACTTTTTCAATGAAATTTTTAAAGGCTGTTTTCAGTTTGTGCCTCATTTCTCTTTCCATCTGTAGAAGAAATACGAATTAACTTTAGTTATCACTTTACTTATTAATAGTAATCCCTTCAAAAACCATGAAGTGCTTTTGTAGTCCCTAATTCTGTTAACTATGATACTAACATGGATACTTTATTACAGGCTGCTAAAATTAATTGTAGAGTTATGCCTACAAATTAAGTCTAATTCAAAGCCAACATACTCTAACATCCCAGCAGATACTTGAGAAGTTCTGCAGAGTTTCTGGAGTGGCTTATAAAATGAAACAATTACTGAGCTCAGATCTGCGCTGAATCCTAGCTCATGCTCAGTTGCTTCAGTCGTGTCCAACTCTTTGCTTCTACGCTCCTCTGTCAATGGGATTCTCCAGGCAAGAATACTGGAGTGGGTTGCCATGCCCTTCTCCAGGGGATCTTCCTGACCCAGGAATCGAACTCACATCTCCTGTGTCTCCTGCATTGCAGGAGGATTCCTTTACTGCTGAGACACCAGGGAAGCCTGAATCCTACCTCCCTACCCTACAAATAAAATACCAAATTTCACCTGCTCAGCATAGAGGTCATCTCGGTCATGCATATGCTGATGTTTCCCCAAGTCTGTGGTGATCTCCCCGACTTCTGTGTAGAACTGCACATCTGTGTGCCGTTTCTTCCCAAACATGATGGCATTCTAAAGACAGAAAGTAGAAAGAACAAGAAATTTTAAGACTTATTTCACAAAGAAGTCTACACAGGAAAAATAACAAAACATGAAAATATTAAAATATCTATACTAGAAATCATAGCATTTATGTTAAGAATAGTTAAACCACTCCAGGTGTCATCATGACGACATTTATAAAAGAGTATAAATTTTTTAAAGTACTCCTACTTATTAGAATGGACTTTGGAGATTATGTTGATAATTGTCTAAAGCAAAAACTTTCTATTTCAGAAACAGGAATGTGGAAAAGACCTATATGTTCTGGAGATCGTTATGATCACCAAGGAACAAACATGATCAGCATCTTTGACATGTCAGGCACTGGGGGCCTTATAAGCATTATTTTATTCAGTGCCCTTAATGATCTTATGTGACAGGTGATATTTTTCATCATCACTTTTTTAAAAGAAACATTGTGATAGTAAGATCTTGCCCAAGAGCTCACAGCTAGCTGACAGAAAGATATACCTTGAGGTGAAAGTGCAAGACAATAATCATTTCCCCATCACATGGCTGGAACAAAGCATGCTTGATGTTATTGTACAAAATATCCACTTTGTCTCCTCGGACAGACGTGAAGCGAAAACCTGGGTGGGGAGGGGGTGGGGAAGGAAGCAGCTAAGTATCAAGGTATATCATCAGGTTAACCCAAAAGGTACTGCATCTTTTCTGGCTGATTTGAACAGGGTCAGAGGTGCCAACAAGGTACAGAGTTTTCCTTTCTGTCTGGCCACACAGTATGTCAAATTAGACTCCTCCCAGCACGTTCTACTATGTTATCTGGTCTGTCATTACTACAGATGTGCCACCAAAGACAAAGCCCAGGCACATGAGAGATTATCCATACCATTGACATGGGCCTCCAGTGAGCCTTGCATCCTCTTTTGGGCAATGTTTGGGCGAATGTACAGATCTTTCAGTTTGGGATTACTCCGGTTTAGATTGATCACCAGTGAATCTTGTTTCACAATGCCCTAAGCAGAATGAAAATCAACGTGAATTCTCACATCTCTTTCCAGGTCCCCAAACCCTCAACGTGTCCTTTTGCACAAAGGCACTTTGCTTTTGTTCAGGCTCACCTCCTTCTCTTTCTCTTCCGCTTCCCGAGTCTTATAACGCTTCTGCACTTCTTTTATAATTCGGAAAGCATTCTGAAGGTTCAAGGCTGGAACTGTCTGTTCTCCAGGTGCCTTCATATTTGAAGCTCGGTATGTACTACAGAAAAAGGGGAGCACTTATGTAATTTATCATGCCAGGTAACCCTCACCCATTACTGTGTTTTACAACTAGCTTAATACCTTTTAGGAGAAAAAGGTACCACTGAGTGGTGAAATAATGTCTGGAAAGATGAAAAAATCCTTCCTCTCTCTTAAACAGATGATGTTATAAATAGCTAATTTACTGAGTGGGGGAGTCACACTTATATTTTAAATCCTGCATAAGCTTCCCCAAATGATCCTATTTCACTTCAAGAATAAACAGACTCCAGTGTGGCACACATCTGATATTTTATCAACAAATATGTCAAGTGAGGATAAACTATCTTTATGAGGATTTAAATTAGGTTCCAACCTCAAAACAGTACAAGGTTAGTAAGGTGATCCTCCTAATCAAGTGCGACTGAGGAAGGTGCCGCCATTCACTAGGATGTGGGAGAACACAGCACTCTCTGGGTTTCTGAGGGTACTGCACTGGCCAGCAGGGATATGAGGGTGGTTGTTTCCCTGGGAACTCACATTTCCTTGACAAAAGTGGCTTCTGGGTTGGGAAAGATGTTGCCCTCATTCCTGCCCAGAGCACTGCCTGGGCAGTAGAAGTTGATTCGCAAGTAAGTATAATCTCCTTCCACAGACATACTTATATTCTGTTCAAAGAAAGGAAAAGCATTAGCAAAAAAACCAAACAGATTTATTTCCTAGATGAAGGTAGGTAGCTATAGACATGCTAAAATTAAGTTAGTAGTTACAAACTGACAGCTAAACCTAGCCTGTAATCCTTACTCTAAAATTAATAAACCATGTATTTAGCTTATTTTTTTATATGACCAAATGTGTGTTTCTAAAAGAATCACTGAGTTCCCAAAGTTCTTTTTCTGTGCCATATTTATGACAACAGGTTAAAAAGTTCTTCAAGTTCAAAGAGAAACAAGCAAAGTATGATTATAGACTAGATCATTTAACTTTCTTCAAAGTGCAAACGGGAAAGGAAGGAAAATGATAGCAGGAGATTAGGGAGCAGGGTGGGGGAGTCAGTAACATGGGAAAGGTAGAGTCACCAGGAGCATAGAATAGAAGAGACATGCAGTCAGGACAGCCATGTATGGTAAGCACAATTATTTTAAGGAATTATTCGAATGAAGCCTGATTCAATGTCAGTACCTTGATTGTGGCAATGTGAAAAGGTGTTGCAATGCCAAACACAGGCATTATTACAGTCTCGTATTTTTTATCAATATAGATCTTCATTTCCCGAATGTGTGGTTCCTTAGGCATCAAAGATGGGTTTTTATAGGACACATTAGATTTACGAGCTCTGAAGTGGGAATAAAAAAATGTTCTTGAGAAATTTCTGCAAATCACATATAACCCTAAGATAATCTCACTACTCCATGCAAACTCTTACTTCTGAATCTGCTGTTCCCCTTTTTGTTCAGTTAATCGCCTCTTTGCTTCCTCGTTGAGTTGAGCTGCCAGTTCTTTTTGATGGGCTCTTCGCTTCTCTTCTGCAGTCATCTCATTCTAAGGGAAAACTGAAGTTATGAGGACCCGTGAACCATGACAAACAGGAAACTAAAGTAGTTTTCAAACTGTAAACTTACTCGTGTTCTTTCTGTAAGTAAAGCTGCTCTGGAACCTCTTCCCAACAGGTCCTCAGCTTCATCTTTCTCCTCTTCCTCTTCTTCCTCATCCTCATTCTATGGGGAAAAAAAAAACCATCATCAGAAATTCAAGTCTTAATTATTTTAGCCATTATTGTTTACTTCTTCATTGTGTCCAACTTTTCACCACTCATTTTTATCTTCTTCCTACCTTTAGAAAAATCCCTACGTTCTTCACTTTCTTCTTCACAGAAGTGAGAACGGTAGCTGGGCCATCCTGGAATACAAACAGGAAGTGAGACATCTCTAACAGCATTTAAATGATATACTTTCACTTTCGAACCCAGTAACTAGCTGGGCCATGCTTTGAATCATCTGCCACTAAAAAAGTCTGTGACAACACATAAAACCAGTTATCTTTGCAAATGCACATTAGGAACTGCAATTTGGGAGGCAACAATGGGATAATGAGTAAGAATACTGGCTTGATTTGAAACCTGGCTCACTCACTTTTGAGCTCTGTAACATCTGGCAAGGTACATATACTTTCTTGTGTCTCAGTTGCTTTATCTACATATTTGGATAAGAGTATCTACTTCATAGAATTATTATAAGGATTCAATGAATTAATGTATAAATGTGTTCATATAAGAACACTGAAATATTTACTACCATTAAGAATCAACAGGGGCTCTGTGAAGATATAGAAGGGTGGGATGGGGAAGCAGATGGGAAGGAGGGGACCGGATGCACCTATGGCTGATTCTTGTTGATGTTTGACAGAAAACAACAAAGTTCTGTAAAGCAATTATCCTTCTATTTAAAAATATAGTGGCAAAAAAAAAAATATCAGTTCCTGCTAAGTTAAAGAAACCAGTCACAGAAACAAGAAAAAAGTCAAATAAATAACCTAACTCTACACCTAATGCAACTAGAGAAGAAATGAAGAACCCCAGGGTTAGTAGAAGGAAAGAAATCTTAAAAATTAGGGCAGAAATAAATGCAAAAGAAACTACAGAGACCATAGCAAAAATCAACAAAGCTAAAAGCTGGTTTTTTGAAAAAAAAATAAACAAAATTGACAAACTGTTAGCAAGACTCATTAAGAAACAGAGAGAAGAACCAAATTAACAAAATTAAAAATGAAAATGGAGCGATCACAACAGACAACACTGAAATACAAAGGATCATAAGAGACTACTACCAGCAGCTCTATGCCAATAAAATGGACAACTTGGAAGAAATGGACAAATTCTTGGAAAAGTATAACTTTCCAAAACTGAACCAGAAAGAAATAGAAGATCTTAACAGACCCATCACAAGCAAGGAAATCGAAACTGTATGGAGGCTAAATAACATGCTAAATAACCAACAAATCATAGAAGAAATAAAAAAAGAAATCAAAATATGGATAGAAACGAATGAAAATACAACAACCCAAAACCTATGGGACACTGTAAAAGCAGTGCTAAGGGGAAGGTTTATAGCATTACAGGGTTACCTCAAGAAACAAGAAACCAGTCACAAAAACCGCCCAAATGCTCAGAAAAGGCAAATCCTTAGAAGTCACTGCCTAGGCCTGGGAGGGAAATGAGGAGTGACTGCTAATGGACACAGGGTTTCTTTCTGAGGTGATGAAAATGTTCTAAAACTAGACTATGGTGATAGTTGCATTAACTGTAAATATACTAAAAGTCACAATTGTACACTTTAATTGCATGGTATGTAGATTGTTAAAGCCATTACAAAAGAAAAAAAACCTCAGCTCTGTTATAGACTCAGTTCCTGAAATTATCATAATCAAGGTTCAAGCCACAATGTGATAAGAGTTTGGTTTAAACAATCTGTATTTCTGGCTGTACTAGGTCAGGCTTTCAGAGGCATCTTTAATTCCCCTTAGTTAGCATTTAACAAATGATAAGAAGAAAAAACACCACATAACATAGATAAGCAATAAATAGTAAATAAGGATTTACTATGTACCACATGGAACTATACTCAATATCTTTTAATAACTTAAAATGGAAAATAATATGTATATATATATATATATATATAAACTGAATCATTCTGCTATACACCTGAAACTAACATGATATTGTAAAATCAACTATTTGTTGCTGTTCAGTCCCTCAGTCATGTCTGACTCTTTGCGACCCCATGGGCTGCAGCACGCCAGGTTTCCCTGTCCTTTACCATCTCTTGGAGCTTGCTCAAACTCATATTCATTGAGTTGGTGATGCCATCCAATCATCTCGTCCTGTCATCTCCTCCTCCTCCTCCTGCCTTCAAACTTTCCCAGCATCAGGGTCTTTTCCATAAGTCGGATCTTTGCATCAGGTGGCCAAAGTATTGGAGCTTTAGCATCAGTCCTTCTAATGAATATTCAGGATTGATTTCCTTTAGAATTGACTGGTTTGAACTACTTGCAATCCAAGGGACTCTCACATCCATACAGGACTACTGGAAAAATCAACTATACTTTCATTTTTTTTAAAAAAGGGAGGGGGAACCATAGGGTTAAAAATGCACTTCAATATTCAGTTCATGAAAGAAGCAATATATACCTCATCCACAAGCACTGTGTCTCCAATGAACAGGGCATAGGTTTTCTCTTCTGGTTTCTTCCCTTCCTTGTTAGTCAAATCTGAGAATCCCAAATTGATGCTGAAAACCATCCCTAAACCAGCAAAACGGGAATCAGTGAATGACTGTGAAAGTTTGGAGAAGTGTGATTTTATACAGAATAGAATAGAGGGAGATGAAACTAAGGGAAAGTATTTTAAAAGGTATTTTTCTAATGTATGCATGTAAAACTCACCTTTCTTTAGTTTGTACTGATTTTTACTATTAATTACTAAAGAACCTTCACGGAATTCAATGCCCATTCCAAACCTAAAAAGGAAATGAAGGAAACTTCAACAATAGGCTTAAAAGGCCTCTAACCTGAGTCAGGTACACTACATCCTATTTTAATTTTCAAGGTAAGGCAGGCACACAAGCTAAGTAACTTGCCACTACTGATGAGTTGTTAAAGGGCACACTACCAAGAATGTATAACAACTAGAATAAGAGATAATTTCTAGTAGAATGTTGATAACTGGATTTACTAAGTCTCCTAGGCCAAAACTTAGTATAGGTCAATGTATTTCCTCTTGTCCATCACAGAAGTCCAGAAATAAACAATATATCCCAACTAGCTTCGTCTAAGGAGCCTGCCTAGAGCTTTTGTTTCTCAAATGTCTTTGGTTCTATAATATGTTAGTAGTATATCTAGGTGTTCAATGATCAAATACACTCGAGAAACACTGGAGTAAATAAAAACTTTAAGAATTTAAATAGCTGGATATCTCAGAGTGCTTATTTTGCAAATATGAATTGATTTGTTCTGAGAGGAAATATTGTATATAATGTCTTAACATTTGTAATTTAAGCCTGAAACATCTACAACACTGGTCTGAAAAGATCTCCATGAACTTACATACATTCTCTGATAACACAATGTGTCCGGCACACAGTTAAGTTGAATAGTCCACAAACATTGGTTGAATCATCTAAGAATACTTTGCCTGACTGCCACTCATGAAAATTGACAGTGACTATGTATATCACAGCATCTTACCCTAGGTTTTTGGTAATTTTGTTCAGCAGCTCTGGCTTCTGCTTTTTAACCACATCCATGACAGCATTATATACATCACATATCTTCACACCTAAGGACAAGACAGATGGGACATTAAAGTATCTTTCAGGAAAAAACTACAAATCACATTTTTATTTTTTATTTTTTTGAATTCTATTTATTTATTTTCATTTATTTTTATTAGTTGGAGGCTACTAAATCACATTTTTATTTTTTAAAATCACATTTTTAAAAGCAACATTATTTTCACTCATTAAGTCATGTAAAGCAGGGTTTCTCAAAACACACAATAAGGAATACAGTTGCAGGGCTGGTAGGGCTTAGAAATGTACATTTTAAAAAACAATCCACCCAGTCATTCTTTAATTACACTGTTGAGAATCACTCCAGGGGGACTGTGGAACCCTAGCTGGTCTCAGTGAAATAATTTAAGAGTTAATAAATGGCATTACATTAAATTTACTATACATTTTGAAGAACAAGACTACTGAACGGGTGAATTACTGTTGGAAGAATGCTGGACTTAATTTTTCAAGGTTTAGGATATGAATATGTATTTCAAGCCAGAGTAGTTCAAGTACTGTAGCCTCAGAGGAGTTTTTACTCTCACTGAACAACCTAGGACTATGGTGCCAGTTGGATTTCTCAAGATTGACCTGAGGTATCAGGAGGGAATGGTGTCTGGAAGCTCTGGGAAACTTTAAGTGGGCTTACAAAGTTGTTTAAAGGTGGTGAACATAAAGTCCCATTTAGCCAACTGGGAGTGGGGAGTCTCAAGGCAAAAGAGGTGCCAAATGCTCTGCTTTTAAGTAAGCAGTAGCTTGCTTAGCAGGGTTGTCATTAGTTCTGCTCTCAAACTAAGATTCCTGGTATTCATTCAATATAGGATATTAACATTACATAGTCTGTTGGGAGAGATACTACTACTCAGAACTTTCTAAAGAAAAGTAGTAAGAGCATGGTATTTTATGACGATCTGAACACAGAGATCTAACCAGTCAGAGAGGGTTCTGTAAACATCAATATAAAACCACAGTAACTATTCCTACATAAAAGAAAAGTACATTGAAGAACTAAATGCTAGGATGATTGGAGGTTAGTAAAATATAATTCTATTTACAGTACAAGAGCCTCAGGGATAAACAGTCCCATGAATGTTACATTTTTGTTACATAATTTCTAAACCTCATCTAAGGCACACATTACCATGTCTTAGTTCCTTTAGCAGCTCCTCTTGCAGCTGAAGCAAAAAGTTGTAATTTTCTTGAACCTCCTGAGAAGGATCAACCATCAAAGTGCGAACAAGGTTTGAGCAATAAGATTTGAAGCGAATACCCATGGCACAGGTAATGGCCCCAAAATGCATATGATTCTTGTCACTAGAGACCAAAGGGAGAAAGCATCTCATTACACAAACTTGTGAAGTCCTTAGCACACCTAGCATACACATCTGTAATCATGATTTTGACCCACTATATCCCAAAGCTGAAGCAGAAAAAATGACCTAAATGGTTTAAAAAAAAAACAAGTCAGAAAAAAAAAAAACACCAAGTCAGTTTATAAAGGCTATGGAAAGTTGTATCCCAGATATGCAAGTTATACTGAATTTTATGCATTATAATCTAACAGTATGATGGTAAGCCATCACCTATGCAACAGCCCTGACGAATAGCATTCTTTACAGGTATTTTTAAAAATTAGAAGGGGAATATTTATGATATATCTAGTAAGATTTTTAGGAGAAGGCAATGGCCACCCACTCCAATACTCTTGCCTGGGAAATCCCATGGATGGAGGAGCCTGGTGGGCTACAGTCCATGGGGTCGCAAAGAGTTGGACACGACTGAGCAACTTCACTTTCACGCACTGGAGAAGGAAATGGCAACCCACTCCAGTATTCTTGCCTGGAGAATCCCAGGGACGGAGGAGTCTGGTGGGCTGCCATCTATGGGGTCGCACAGAGTTGCACACGACTGACGCAACTTAGCAGTAGCAGCAGCAGTGAGATTTTTATTTTTTTAAACATGCTTTGCATTTTTTTCTTGTCATTTTTAATCATCTGGAAAATGCTTACAATCAAATACTCAAGTAAGAAATGAATAACTATGTGAAATAAAATTAAACTCTACATAGAATAAGAAGATAATAGCCTGCAGGAGGCAGGCTAATGGTTATTCTTTCTCTTCCTACTTTTTCGAATCCCAGAATGAGTCTAAGAAAAAACTGGCCAAAGGCTGAAGTGCTCTGGTTGTTTTATATTTTGAAATTCTCATACTTACCTCACTACACTGAACTTGAGGTTATAGTTGCCACCACTCTGAATGATAGGAGGGTAACACATTTCCACAGTAGAAGGGTCTGCCCCAGCTAGGTATTTTTTCTCTTCTATGGCCTTTTCCACAGACTCAGCCAGTTTGCTGTGTCGAACTTTCTATAAATATACCCAGAAATAAAACAATATTTACTATAGGGTGGCAGAAGGGTGTTGGGTTTTTGGACATGACCATTTGAAGACAACATATATCCTGATATCATACAGGATGCCAAAGAAGTCCTATGAAGTGGTTTATGCAACAGATAACACACTGGTGTACACGCAAAAGGAAATTTAGGGAATACGTGGAATTTGCAGCTATTCAAAGAATTCTCAAGTGACATACTGGGTAAGCTCAACAGAAACTACAGTGGACGTTTATAGTTATTCTCAAAGAGAGCTGGCATAATTACACAACACCAACTTATCTACCAAAGGTAGCTGAACACAACCTAAAAAACACTGCATGGGAGCGACTTACTTCATTACAACAGTAAAAAGACACTCCCACCCCCAATTTACCTCATCTGCATCAACTATTTCCATGACTCTTTCCTTGAAGAATTTGTTGAAGACCTCAGAGGTGATGCTGGCTGCTTTTTTCATTAGATTGAGCTCTCCATCCTCCTTTACAGCAATGGTATAGGCCACAACTGCACTGATGTCTATCTGCAGTCAAAGGGAAAAACAGTTCCTAACATGCAGACACAGAACCCCTAAAGAAATCTCTCTCCCCTGGTTCAAATATTATCAGTGACTATGCCTGGTTATTTAGCAAACTACTCATCAGCAGTTTGCAGAATATCTAAATATTCTCTTCTTGGATTGAATAAACATCTGAAAGAACTCTTTACCAGGTCATTGGTGTATGCTAAGAGGCACTGAACTAACACATCATTTAAAGTATAAATGTAAATACCTCTCTTGAGGTTTCTATAAAGGCTGAAGAAGGTAGACAGAAAACAAAAAAATTTTTTTGGACAAGAGATTTTCCTCGATTTCCCTCTGGAGTAGCCAAACTGTCTCCTGAATGCCTCACTCCTAACTGAAAAGTGAACTGGTTTACCACTAAGCCACAGGAAATGAAAATGGAAATATGAATGAATATACAGCTTTCCCAAAACAAAGTCTCTGCACCATCAGTTGCAGAAGCCCCTCACAATCTTGTCTTCTCAACCCTCAGTGTGCCTGTTTTCAGAGTATTCTTACTTTGTCAAAGCCCTCTTTGTTGAGGCAGTCATTCCAACTCTTCATGAACTCTCCTGGAAATTTGTCTTTGCTGAACACTCCAATCTTCTTGCCATTCTTGCTTTCTTTAATGGCTTCAATCATTTTGTCAAAGCTGCTCTTGTTACTTTCATTCTGTCAGTGCCATAGGGAGAAAAAAGGGGTTTAGTTTCAGAATTAGGTATCTTATGTTCTAATACTAGGCAGAGAATATTCTAAACTATGGAAAGAAATAAATTCTATCTCCCCTTTTCCTACCTATTTCTTTAAGGAAGACTGTAATATACCAAAAGGTTACACAAAATTTCTTTGGATATATTTAAATGCTTAAGTGAAGTGCCAAATAAGCTGAGAAGACTATTCTTTACTTCAGGAAGAGCTAAGAAACTGAAATACAAAGGTGAACAACATTCTGAAAAGAAACCTTTGTCAGATGGGCAATATAATAAAAAAAGATTACATTTGATAAAAATTGGAAATGAGGTATACCTTTCCTTAAGGATATTTAAAGATTTTTGTTCTAATTAAGATACTCAGAGAAGTATCCTCAAGAATGGATAAAGTTAGTATTCACCATAATTTCATTACCCATTTGTGTTACTGCAAACTGATAGGGTTACTGAACTCTTTTCTTTCTTTCTAACAAATGACAGCTAAAATCTTCCCCTTGTGTTTTTAAATTCCTGGAAGGCTTTTCTGTTTACCACTTTTAAACATTCTTTCATATTTTTTTATGACGAATTCTTGTTAGTTCTGACCTTTTCTCGTACGAGTAGTGTGATGGCAGGGGCTCCATTAGCATTCTCATTGCCCTTAGTGTTGGCAATCTGTTTCAAGAACTCCACTTTTTTCTTGCTGGCCATAAAGATGATTTTGTCATCACAGAATACCATGATAGTATCGGTTAGTTCATAACCAAAGAGCCATGTCTATGAGAAAAGACAACAATGTGAACAGATACAAAAAAAATCAATGTATTGATACATATGAAATAAGGTATCTAGAATTAACTTCAAAATAATCATGCAGTGTGAGAACCTGGATATAGATTTCAATGAAATTAGATTGGTCAGTACTGTTCACTGAACTTTTTGTGAAAGAACTATTCTACACGTCCTCTCTTTAACAGGCTAGCCACTACAGAGTACTTGAGGCTGAGGAGCTGAAATTTTAATGTGGCTAGTGGCTACCATACTGAACAGTAGCTGATTCAATGACTCTCAGGGCTAAACACTGCTGTAAACTTCTCACCTGTAAGGCAGTTGATTTGGCATAAACAATTTCTTCATCAACACCCACTGATACAACAATGGCATCAACATTGGCATACTCATCTTCTCCTTTCTGAAAGGCAGAGTAGGTAATGTGGTCATTTTCTTTTCATACAAGCACAACAGGAACAGGTCCAAGATACATGTAATTTTTTCCTAATGGAAACTCAAAGTTTAAGATACATATATACTTGACAACCCTACAGTCATTACTTACTCTATTTTTAAAATAGCTTTCGGAGACAAAATTCATATACAATTCACCAACTTTTGTGTAAAATTCAGTGGTTTTCAGTGTATTCAGTTACACAACCATCACAATCTAATTTTAGAACATTTTCATCTCTCCCCCCAAAACCCATTAGCAACAATTATCCACCTCCTCTCAGTCCCAGCAACCACTAATCTCACTTGTCCCTAAGGATTTGTCTATTATGGACACTTAATATAAATGGAACCATAATACATGGCATTTGTTTCTGGCTTCTCTCACATAATATTCTTTCATGGTTCATCTGTTTTAGCATGTATCAATACCACATTCCATTTTATTGCTAAGTAATATTCCATTATGTGGATATACTACATTGTATCCATTCAACTGTTGCATATTCGAGTTGTTTCCATCTTTTGGCTACTATGAATAATGCTGCTATAATGGTAAGTTTTTGTGTGCACATATTTCTCTTGAGTATATTATCTAGGTGAGGAACTGCTAGTTATATGGTAACTCTGTATTTAACTTTCTCAGGAAACACAAGACCGTTTTCTAAGGTGCCTGCACTATTTCACAAAATCCAATTTCTCCATATGCTGACCAACACTTAACTTTATTATAGCCATCCAATGGGTATGAAGTATCTCACTGCAGTTTTGATTTGTATTTCCATAATGGTCAATGATCTTGACTGAACTCCCAGTCATGTGATTCTGATGATTTGTATACCTATTTGGAGAAGTGTGTGTTCAGATCCTTTTCCCACTCTGGGTTATTGCTTTATTACTAAGTCATAAGAGTTCTTTTTATATGTAAAAGTCTCTTATCAAATATGATTTGCATTTTTTTCTCCTGTTCAATGGATTTTCCTTTCACTTTTGTAATGATGTTGTCCTTTGAAGCACAATAGTTTTTATTTTGAAGAAGTCCAAATTCTTTTCTTGTGCTTTTGATGTCCTATGTAAGGTGGCTTTGCCTAACCCAAGGACACAAAGATATAACTATACTTTCTTCTATAGGAGTTTTATAGTTTTAGCTCTTATATTTACATTTATGCTTCATTTTTTTTTTCCCTCAACATTTTCTCTCCATTCTTGGAATCCAATTGCTCCTTTCTGAATAGAATTTGTGGTGCTCTTCATTGTTTCTGGGGATTGCCAACAACGCCCTACACAAAGAGATCCTCGCAGCACTTCCCCTAAGTCTCAGATTCTGTAATAAAGATGTACTTTTAGGGGTGGAGTCCAGCTGTCTTCAAGCTCACAAGTGACCCTGGTGATTCTGAAGACGGTCGGCCTTGCTCCATTGTGTTGCTGAATTTTCCACTGCTTATATTCCTTTTAATACGTTTTCCTCCAGCATTTCGTCTTTCTTTTGTTCACCGTCCACAACCTTATTCCAAGGCTGGAATAGTTCCAGGTGGGGACCGCTGCTCTGGCCCTTGGCGGCCGGCGCTGCGAGGCCCCGCCCCTGGCGCGAGTCTAGGTGCCCCGGGGCCGGTAGGCCGAGCTGGTGGCTCGCCTATGCTTCATTTTGAGTCAAGTTTGTGCATGGTGTAAGGAAGGGGCCTACCTCATTCCCCGCCCCCAAATTGTCCTGGCACCACATCAAAAATCAAACGATGTAAATGTGAAGGTTTATTTCTGGATTCTCAATTCTATTCCATTGAGTTACATGTCTGCCCTTACACTAGTACATTACTTTGATTACTGCAGCTTTGTATTAAGTCCTGAAATTGAGATCTGTGCATCCTCCAACCATTAGCTACTCCTGAACTGTTGTGTAAGACCTAAGCACTGATAACTGTGAGCTCTAACTAAGGTCAAATCTCTGATTTCCCTATAAAGTCAAGAAAAATATTTACAGGGAATGCCCTGGTGGTACAGTGGTTAGGACTCTGAGCTTCCACTGTAGGGGCCCTGGTTCAATCCCTGATTAGGGAACTAAGATCCTACAAGACGTGTGGCATGGCCAAAACAAAACAAAATAAGATCTACATACATAATGCTATAAATCATTAATATCTCAATTTTTAAAAAATTTATTTAAGGTTCTTTCACATTTTAAGACTTCTGGATGCCACTTAGGATCCAAACAAAATAGCAATTGAGGGTTCTGCTGCATTTCTCTAGCAAAACAAAATATATAACCCAAAGGAGTTACTATATAGTAACCTTATGCAGTCCCTCACTAATTTTCACTGAGAAAATGTTTACCTTCAGGTTGGTAAGATTTTATCATTAGCTCCCACTGATGATGCAAAAGCAATGGTAATTAAAACTGCTAGTGCCTTAGCATAAAGTTAGTGGCACCAAGCTATGTTCATCACTACTACACACTCAATAGAAAGGAAAAGCCAGTTTCACTTAAAAAATGTCCTTGATGCAGTAAAAATGACTAATATTATAAAATCCTAACCTTTGAACATATGTCTTTTTAATAGTCTGTGTAAAGAAATGGGAAGCAGCACATCCAAAGCACTTCTGTGTGTACACTGAACTATGACAGCTGTCTCAAGGAAAAGCACTTTTATCAATTATTTCAGTAATAAATTAAACTAGCCATTTAAACAGACTTGGATATCTAGCATACATTTTCTTGAAAATGAATGAAGTGAGTCTATCACTTCAAGGAAAATGAAAGAAATGTGTTGTTAATGATGAAATCTGAGCCTTCAAACAGAAATCAAAATTTAGAAAACCTTGTACTCACCATTGTGAACTTGACAACTTCTCTGCTTACTCAAGAACTTTTTTGATGATATCAGCAGAATATTAACATACACAATTCTCCAACATCATATAATGAACCGTGTACATTTACCAGATGTATACAACTGAGGGAACAATATTTTCCAAATAACCAGTGGATGATGTTACAAAATTGTTGAGTATGAAAAGTTCACTGTTGTGGTTTTAAATTCCACATTACAACTAACTTTCAAGAGATAACCACTTCCAGGGAATTCCCTGGCAGTCCAGTGGTTAGGACTCAGCACTCTTACTGCCAAGGGCCCAGGTTCAACCCCTGGTCGGAGGACTAAGATCCCATAAGCCGAGAGGCCAAAAAAAAAGAGAGAATGATTAACTACTTCCAGAGTTCTAGTGCAGTAACAAAGAATATCCACAGTTATCTAAAGAGTTTATTAATATTTCTTGCTTTTCCAACTTTATGTATGTACGAAGCCAAATTTCTTTATATACTTGCTCAAACCTATATAGAGAAAGATTTTGTGGGGAGCTGAATAATTTAAGACTGTAAAGGGGTCCTGTCATCAGAGCTGGGGACCGCTGTCCTGTGATCCCTGACATGGATTAACACGAACTCTGGCATCAGGTAGTCTCCCCTTCTGCTTTGCTACATACATTCCAATTCTTCAGTAAACATGGGATTCTGTGCCAACAGTATTACTACTACCTTGATAACCCCCCAAAATTAACAACAGGTACTCCCCTCTATTTATGTGTTTTGGCTACCAATATGTAAATTTTTTCCCTAAACATGTCTTCAAAAATACCACAGAAACTAACCAAAAAGTCCCTTTTAGTATTTTTTTTTTCTAATACTGGAGTGGGTATCCTTTCCCTTCTCCAGGGTATCTTCCCAACCCAGGGATTGAACCCAGGTCTCCCACATTGCAGGCAGATTCTCTGCCAGGTGAGCCACAAGGGAAGCCCCCCTTTTAATATTTTTTGATACTTAAAATCTTAGTCAAAATTTTTCCAAAAAGGGCATCAACATGCACAAAAATTCAAAATGCAGAGTAATAAATTTTTAAAGCTGCTGTTCAGTCACTAAGTTGTGTCTGACTCTTTACAATCCCATGGACTGCAGCACACCAGGCTCCTGTGTTTTCCACTATCTCCCAGACCTTGCTCAAATTCATGTCCAATGAGTTAGTGATATACAAATATAATCACATAATTAATCATTAATAACATAGGAAAACCATACAAAGTTATCTCGATAGAACTGATAATAGGAAGAGAGAAAAAAAGACCTATGTACTCAGCTTTCTTATGAGGATATGGGAAACCAATCCATCAAATCTCAAGGATTTCCATTATTATAAAATGTCTGATTTTCTACTGTCCATCAAAAAGGTGAGAGGATGAATCCTAAACTCTCTTGGAACCCAGTTGCTCTGACCATTTCATAGAATATTTTTGATTGATTCTTTACAAACACCAGGAGAAATAAAAGCAGACTATCTAAAAATAATAAATTTAAATAAAGTTTTTTCTTAAAATGTGATTCAATGAAAAGGATTACAATAAAGTCAACAATTTTGACAGCAAAGCCTTGGGCGTTATTTTGTATTTTCAAATCTTATAAGGTGTATAAATACCCTTACAGAGATTAAATCTGAAAATAGTCTTCTGAAACTGTGGGAGATTAATAATCCACTTTTAAAACTTCCATGATGGGAGTGGGGTGGGAGGGAGGCTCAAGAAGGAGGTGTTGTATGTATACTTGTAGGTGATTCATTCCTTGTAGAGCTGAAACCAATGCAACATTACAAAGCAATTATCCTCCAATTAAACACAAATTAAACAAAAGTAGCATGTTACCCACAGTAACATTTTAATAAATTATATACAATACTAAAATATTTTCAGATGAACTTATGCCTGGAATTTGTTTTAAAGTACTGGAGTGGGGGACTTTCCTAGTGGTCCAATGGGTAAGACTCCATGCTGCCACTGCAAGGAGCATGGGTTTGATTCCTGGTCAGGGTACTAAGATCCCACATGCTGCACAGTGTGGCCAAAAAATAAATGAATAAACAAACAAACAAATGAATAACAAAAAAAATACTGGGAGGGGGTGGCAAGAAAAAAAAGGCCACAAGGCTA